TCTTAAAAGAGGAAGAAGAAGAAGGTACACTCGATTAACTGGTGAATATGATGAAGAGCCTTACTGACAGAAAGATAAAGACGAAGACTATCAGGTGCTGGAATTGCGGTGAACTGGGACATGTACGCAGTTCGTGCAAACGCCCTAGGGTCCCAACAAATTAAGACCTAGAGGGGACAGCTTCGACCTGAAACCGTTCCAAAGACCCTCTTATACTGATAGCCTCTTTGAAATATCGCGATGTTAGTGTATACGTAGACGGCGAAGTAAATGGCAAAAAGTATACACTGTTGGTGAATACTGGAGCAACTAGGACTATTATACGACCAACAACTATAAATAACCGTAAGAAACTTCTACCAACAAGATTGCGACTGTCACAGGTGAAAGTGCCAACATCCATGGGGAAATCCAGGTTCAATTGGGAATTGATACGCAAAAGTTCACTCACACTGTTATTGTCGCTGATATCGAAGAAGATGTTATTCTTGGAATGGATGTAATGAACTTACATGGTTTCCAGTTGGACTTTAAAAACAGAGTGATGAAAGTTGGTGCCGAAGAGGTATTCCTACATCCATATGGGAACAGTGCCGTGCCAGTTGCTGTACAGGAGGATACGGTGGTAATGTTCTCTCTTTTTGCTGCTGTAAACCACTAGACCGACAGAACTTGGATCTCCGTCGGAGTCAAACTGCTCGATGTTTGGTACGTTAGCCATTTTTAAAAATATAGGTATATCATATTTTATTTAATTTTCATGAAACATAATACTACAAAATGCTTATATTAGAAAGTGCTCTAAAACCCCCTTTATATATTTATATTTGTGTTAGTTCTAAACTTTTTGTTTTTTTCAAACTTATTTCTCATGGTTCTAAACCCCCTCTTTTATATATTGAGTTCTTATTTTTTTTGTTTTGAGTTCTAAACTCTCGTTTCAGCTCCAAACTTTTTTTTTAAGTTCCAAACCTTTTTCATGTGTTCTTGACTCTTTACTAATTTGACAGTTCTAAACCCTAAATTTCCTTTATGTCATACTAGTTCATTATTGTGTTTTTATTCCTTAGTTACCAACTATCTAGTGTCGTACTTTATGCCCGTGCGGGCATAAAGTTCACTTTATGGTCGCGCGGGCATAAAGAGAAATAATTTTTTGTTTAACTTATTTTTCGTATTCCATGTCTTAAGCTTCTTTAAATTTTTTTGGCAACAGATTTTCAGTTGCTTTCTTTGCTTTTTCAATAATTTCGTCAGGAATTCCGAAATCTTCGTTCATTTTGACTTCTAACTTTGACACATATAAAAATTATTGTGATTTTATGACATTTACGTTTGTCAACATTCACCTAGCAACGATAGTGTCTACTATGATAAAATGGCAATTTTATTAATTCAAACCGGATTTTTTAAAATGCTGATTTATATTGAGATTGGATTGCAATAACGAACTAGTATGACATAAAAGTTTGTATGTACCGCGGGCATAAACAGATGTGTATTCCGTCGGGCGACTTACAAACCATCGGGCCAGAGGCCCTCGGGTTCGTAAGACGTCGCCCTCAGGGCATAGACATCTATTTATACCCTTGGTACATAACTATTCAAGTTTTAAACTTATTTTACATGGTTCTAAACCTCTCTTTTATATATGAGTTCTAATCTTTTTTTTATGTTTTGAGTTCCAAACTCTAATCTCTCGTTTCCAGTTCAAAACTTTTAGTTCCAAACCGTATTACATTGCTCCCTCGATTGATAGGGGGTGAAATTATATAATAGTTAGCACAGGTTTATAAATTTCATCTGGAGAGTTGGGACGTGGAAAAATAAATCAGATAAACTCTATTTACTGATGTTTTTACTCAATAATGGTTTTGTTACAGAAATAGAGTGAGTCTATATACAAGGTGTTCCCAAAATTGCGGACTATCTGACAAGAAATTAAATTAAATTAAATTAAATTAAATTAAAAAAATATCTGTATGTACTAATCTAATATCTATATATATATATATATATATATATATATATATATATATATATATATATATAGGTAATCGTACGTTGAGGCGCCAAAAACGCATTTATATGGACGAAGTGGCACCTATATTTACGTTGTTGCACCATTGCAAGGTGCTAGAACGTTTTATTGCATATTTGGCCTTTTTAACACCTTACTAATCCCCCTACCAAATTTCAGAAAGGTGCCTTTTCGACCATTTTTCTATAAAAACACGATTTTAGTTGAACCGTATACTCCCCAGAGGTCAGGCCGGTCGCTCACAATGCTCAGACGTTTACGACTTAGTGGCACCTCGCGAGTAAAAATACTTCCTTACTTTGTGGCACCTCACTTTGTATATATTTTCTTACTTCGTGGCACCCCAGTTTGTTTTCATAAGTGAACGTAAGAGCACCTTAGGTCCTTTGGTGAAAATACCGGCTAAAATATATGTCGATGAATGAAAGAATATTATAATGTATGATTCAATTCCAAATTTGACAATATAAATTTACTTTTCCAGTGCTAAAATAAAATAATATAAATAAATTAAAATAAATTAAAATAAATTAAAATAAATTAAAATAAATTAAAATAAATTAAAATAAATTAAAATAAATTAAAATAAATTAAAATAAATTAAAATAAATTAAAATAAATTAAAATAAATTAAAATAAATTAAAATAAATTAAAATAAATTAACATAAATTAAAATAAATTAAAATAAATTAAAATAAATTAAAATAAATTAAAATAAATTAAAATAAATTAAAATAAATTAAAATAAATTAAAATAAATTAAAATAAATTAAAATAAATTAAAATAAATTAAAATAAATTAAAATAAATTAAAATAAATTAAAATAAATTAAAATAAATTAAAATAAATTAAAATAAATTAAAATAAATTAAAATAAATTAAAATAAATTAAAATAAATTAAAATAAATTAAAACAAATTAAAACAAATTAAAATAAATTAAAATAAATTAAAATAAATTAAAATAAATTAAAATAAATTAAAATAAATTAAAATAAATTAAAATAAATTAAAATAAATTAAAATAAATTAAAATAAATTAAAATAAATTAAAATAAATTAAAATAAATTAAAATAAATTAAAATAAATTAAAATAAATTAAAATAAATTAAAATAAATTAAAATAAATTAAAATAAATTAAAATAAATTAAAATAAATTAAAATAAATTAAAATAAATTAAAATAAATTAAAATAAATTAAAATAAATTAAATTAAAATAAATTAAAATAAATTAAAATAAATTAAAATAAATTAAAATAAATTAAAATAAATTAAAATAAATTAAAATAAATTAAAATAAATTAAAATAAATTAAAATAAATTAAAATAAATTAAAATAAATTAAAATAAATTAAAATAAATTAAAATAAATTAAAATAAATTAAAATAAATTAAAATAAATTAAAATAAATTAAAATAAATTAAAATAAATTAAAATAAATTAAAATAAATTAAAATAAATTAAAATAAATTAAAATAAATTAAAATAAATTAAAATAAATTAAAATAAATTAAAATAAATTAAAATAAATTAAAATAAATTAAAATAAATTAAAATAAATTAAAATAAATTAAAATAAATTAAAATAAATTAAAATAAATTAAAATAAATTAAAATAAATTAAAATTAATTAAAATTAATTAAAATAAATTAAAATAAATTAAAATAAATTAAAATAAATTAAAATAAATTAAAATAAATTAAAATAAATTAAAATAAATTAAAATAAATTAAAATAAATTAAAATAAATTAAAATAAATTAAAATAAATTAAAATAAATTAAAATAAATTAAAATAAATTAAAATAAATTAAAATAAATTAAAATAAATTAAAATAAATTAAAATAAATTAAAATAAATTAAAATAAATTAAAATAAATTAAAATAAATTAAAATAAATTAAAATAAATTAAAATAAATTAAAATAAATTAAAATAAATTAAAATAAATTAAAATAAATTAAAATAAATTAAAATAAATTAAAATAAATTAAAATAAATTAAAATAAATTAAAATAAATTAAAATAAATTAAAATAAATTAAAATAAATTAAAATAAATTAAAATAAATTAAAATAAATTAAAATAAATTAAAATAAATTAAAATAAATTAAAATAAATTTAAATTAAAATAAAATTAGTTTTTCAATATTATGTAAAGAGAAAACTAGTGATCATTTTTTTATTATCTATTTTTTATTTATCTTAGAACTGACAAGTATTTGTTATAATAATACTTTCCCTAATTCAATCTCACGAGTAAATTTCCTGAAGCCGACTGAGCCTGTGACGGCTATTATTTTTATTTGCCGTGGCGCTCAGTGACTTAGAGATGATTTATAGGGCTATTTGACCTAAAGGTGAAAAAAACCCGAAAAACATCAAGCATTATCATCGAGGCGGTAAAGCATGGCAAATTTGTAATATGGATGTCATATTAATAAAAATTAAATTACTGAATACGGCATACACCAAATTCTATAACGAACCATACAAATTATTTACAAATTTACCTGTTTTGCCGTAGAATTCGAAGCCGTTTGTCTCTCAATTATAAAATTGCCTACAAGTAAATATAAACGCCTTAGACAACTACGCTACCGAGCCAATTATGTTGTTTTTGTATTACTTAAACTGATATGGTGTATTACATTACGAGTATGAAAATTGAAATTTTTTACTCGAGTGGGACACAAGTGTATAAAATCACTTTTACAAAAGTGATTTACAATATTTTTCCTACGACTACAAATTCATCTTATAAAAAAAATCAGGAAATCTGGCTATAAAGTTCAATCAAAATGTGTCTGGTTTTTTATATGCTTTAATAAATAAGTTTTATAGCGTTTTACCTCTTGTGTTTTGTCGTAATTAAAAACTTAATTTCATTTATAAACACTTTCATAGGATAATAACGGTGAAATAACAATAGGTATAAAAAAATATTAGTTCATTTTTTTTTAATACAATATATAATAAGATGAACAATCGTGAACAAGAACTTTCTTATAATTCTACTTTAAATTTTTTGCAGAACAATAATCAAAATGCTACAAAATAAATAGCGAAAAGAAAATATCGGCCATAAGATTATTGAAAAGTACCTATTTAAAATAAATAACAAAACACGTATTTTTTCAATTTTCATATTTAAAAAAAAAGGCGTTGCTTCCATTGCGCCGCGATATGGTCGAAACATTCAAAATTAATAAAATTTAGCGCTCTGTGAACTGAGCTAACAAGCTTGTCGCATAAATTATCTAATCAAATATATAAATAAAAAAAAATAAAAACATTACTTTAAAATTATTTTAATAATTTGTTAAAAATAATTATCTAGAATCTAGATATAGAAATCAATATTCACGATTTAAATTTACTATCTTGTGGCATAATAAATACGTCAATATTCTTTATGCAAATATTAGTAATGACCTTAAATCCTTTAAAACATGGTGTACTGCTAATTTTCTTTCATTAGAAAAAAAAAAAACAAAAATGCTAAACTTTAAATGTAATATTACTGATATTTTAATAGATATGGATACTGTAGAAGTCACAAACTTTACAAAATTTTTGGGTTTAAATATCGACACGGATTTTAAATTCAAATCACATGTGGATCCACTTTTAAAAAACTCGCATCGGATTGTTATGTCATTAGAACTACCTCTCATGAATTAGGAGTTTGTGCAGCAAAAACTGCATATTATACGTTAGTTGACACTCATTTACGTTATGCTATTTAGTTTTGGGGAGTCTGTTCTGCCAAATTATTTGGTAGAGTCTTTATAATGCAGAAACGGAAAATAAGGTTCTTATGTGGAACACACAGATTAGTTTCATGTAGACCGCTGTTCTTACAACAAGAAATATAAACATATCCTTTACGATTGCTCGATGCTCTTATTTATTAGAATATTTATGTTCAGCGAGTATCGGTTAACCCAGCCGATATAAGAGAAGCAATTCTTGGCAACGTTTTCAACTATATTAAATCTGTAGGCTGGCTCACGAGCTAAGAGGTGCCTGTCGTCTTAGGAGGATGCACAATGGGCCTAATGAGGCCTAAGTGCTGTGGAAGTAACCCACCCTCCACACGTTACAGATTATAGATGCCCTTAACGTTTGTACTTTCTTAAAATAAATGTATAAATACAACAGTAGCTATAATTAATTCATATCAAATTAACTACGATTTTTAGATGCTTTCATACTTATGTATATCACTGGTAATTCTCACTATTCCACTATCGGTTCTTTAGTTTAATTTTCTATAAATTGAAACCATACATTTTTAAAATTGATTGCAAAAAATAATGCTTAATATCAACGGTGACACACGGTACAGAAGTCACCTCAACCAAACTTATCACATACCAAAATCCTGAAATTTGGCTTGGAAGCCAACGTGTTAAAAGCAAACGTTACACCATCAAGATCTACTCATTCTCAAGCTAACAAAATGTTTTTCGTCAACTTTTATTTAATATGATATATATGGAGCCAGAAGGTATATATGTACTAATTATATATACATATATAGGGTGCTAGAATGTATATATGTATAAACCATATATAAGGAGCCATTTAGTCAAATTAAGTGCTAAAAATTCCGGGTGCGAGAACGATTAAATAGTTTTTGGTGTGACTTCGTCGTTTTACCTGTATATATATATATATATATATATATATATATATATATATATATATATATATATATATATATATATATATATATATGTATGATTTAATAATTAACCCTCAAATAGTTTCCGTTTTAGGGTCAGTGTGGCCTTCCAAAGATAGCAGGTTAGTTACATGTAGGATGTAGGAGAGATCTTACTTGTGCTCTCGAAGTCTCCTAGATGTATCGATGGGGGCAACACACAGCACTGTAACATTCGCAAGCCCAAGAGCAGTCAACTAAGCGGAAGTAATAAGCTCAGGAGTACCATGTCTAGCAGACAAAAGCAGTCGAAGGTGATAGTATGATAATGGTAATGCAGAATAGTATTGTAACTATAATAGGCCTTGTCTAGCCGATAAAAGCAGTCGAAGATGATGGTAATGCAGAATAGTATCGTAACTATAACGAATAGGCCTAAAAGCATAAATAAAGCCAGATAGAGGTGCATGCAACTTAAATTTGGCCTGGGTGACTTACCGAGTAAAATAGGGCCTTTTCTTTTTAATTATCGCAAATCCACAATGCGTGAAATACAAATCCTCTTGATTTTACAAGCAATACTTATAAGTAATTTTGATGGAACTCCCTTTTAGGGGTGGTAAAAAATCCAAAAATATTCGTTAGATAAAACACAGACCACATGGCCCAAAAACCAACCAAAAAGGAAATGACAGAGAACCCAGAGAGATAAATAAAACCTCAGACACCAAGACGAAACATGTACCTGATTAATAAGGCTAAACTGCCAATAAACAGCTTAATTATTGACCTAATTAATTAAATTATACTAAAATGAAGAAGAGAAGAATTGTTACAAGGTCATGGTCAAAATTTGACATTAGCATGTAAATAAACAATCTACATATGTATAGTTTAGATTTTAATAAATGGATAAAAGTATAAAGGTCTATTAATCTTGTTGAATACTATTTACAAATTAAGGTGAGTTATTTTTTATTTATTTAATGTTTACTAACCCTAATTATTAACTAATAATAATAACTAATTATTTAAGTACAATAAATTTCTGACCCGTAACAATCGTTTTCATGAGTTCTTGACCCTTTACTAATTACACAGTTCTAGACCCTAAATTTTCTTTCAAGTTCCAAACTTGTTTCATTCTTCTTTTTTCAATCTTAGTCTAAGTGCATTTTTTTATTATTGTGAATATTGAACTCACAAGTTCACTAATACTTCAAAACGTATTAATTGGTTTATTTCTAAAGGTACAATCAAAATTATTTACTTACATATGAATAAAAATAATCTTTATTACACAATTTCAGTTTTCTTCACCGCCAATATAGAATTTAAATAAAACACTCTCTTAGGATTTATAACTTTATTCCCTGAGTCTCGCTACATGAATAAATCATACATATCTTACATATGTATATCTCGACCCAGCATTGAGTCATCATTTACACAAATTCAATACACTACAGACGTAAAAGTGTAGACACTTTTAGTACCGTCATTGCGTCTCCTCTTTATTCTATATCTATGATTGGAAAGATTCGTATGTTCCGCCCTACTTTGTAACGTCACATGCCTTAATTATGTGTGCGATGCGCAAAATAAGGTGATTTAAATGATTTTAAGCAGGCACATTGTTTGTTTCATGGATCTGTTGACGTGTTGACTTCTCTTTTTAGCTACAGGTTTTCGCGAAAATATCTCGCGCTCACTCAGCATAATGCGCCACGGAGACGCGATAAGCCAGAGCGCAGTGGCGTACCCAAAAATAGAGATTAACACGTATGAAAACAATAAGATTATTAAAATTGAATTTATATTTTTATGTTATTTATTTTAAAATAATATTATTTTAGGAAATGTGACTGTCTGTTGACTGCATAAATTAACCAATGGAGAAACCGCCCCTGATTACAACAAAAATAGAAAACCTGTTTTCACCTATTAATATTCACTAATACTCCATTTAATAAATCAATTTGCCAATATAATGTTTATAGGAAACTTGAAGAATAAAATTTGGCAATGAACATAAATAGGCGACTAGTATGGCACGTGATACCGATAACTTCTGCAGTCATATGGCGAGTGATACGCATGTAATACCATTATTCATAATTCACCAGTATAATACAATGATTGTACGTGCACAGGGATGATTCACCTTCTCCAATATTTAGATGGAGTGAACGTTTGAAAATTTATGTATTCGATAATGTTTTTTTTTTGTATAGAGTACAGCGTGAGCCACGGGGGTCGGATTCCATGTAAATAGTTGGTACATAAGCGCCAGATCTAAAGAACCAGCGCAAATGCTCAAGTTCGTTTATTAAAAAATCACCACGCCCATTCACAATTTGAACCTTGTCCTTGCTTACGGTCAGTAGCGTAACGACTAGATCATTGTTTGTTTCTTGTTTTTATGTTTTGGTCAACGTGACTGGTTTTAATTTTGATAATGTCTTCTATTGTGGGTGAAAAAAAAAAGCGCAGATCTGTTATTAACGGAGAAAGTCGTGAAGTAATATACAATGTTTTTAAATATTATGACGCAACAAAAAAGAAAGGAGTTACTTTAGATAATATCAAACTTTAAACTACACAAGCAACAGGTAAACATATTCTGCAGTTGATTTGCGATTAAACTTACGTAGTTTTCTATATTTTTTTGTATTTTACACACATATCTATGCATTTTATTTTTGACTAATATTTTATATTTAATTTTTTAAATTTATCTTCTGTTTCTAAAGATTTTTGTTTCCTAATAAATGTAAAAAAATACTAAATTTAACATTAATATAATATTACGTTTTTACGGGTGTTTCCTATACTACCGTTAAAAGAATTTTGAAGGAAGGTACACAGTCAATGGAAACAACTGGAAAAAAGACATTTTCCACACCTAGGAAAAACTTCGTCAAAAAATCAACCGCTACAAATCTCCCTGAATATCAATTGAGGGATATTCGGAGAATAATTTACGATTTTCATATAACAGAAAAGTCTCGTGTTATTGTTAAAAGGTTAAATAATAAAATTAAGGAAGATTTAGATGTCCACATATCAGAAACTTCATTAAGAAGAGTCCTTAAAAAATTACGAATTTAAAAGGGGAATAACACAAAATAATCGTAAAGTTTTGGTGGAAAAAATGAAAATAAGAACTTTAAGAGTAAAATATTTGAGACATAAAATATTTTAGAAGTTAAAATAAACCAATCGTTTATTTAGATGAAACATATATACACAGCGGACATACTTCTTCCAAGAATTGGACAGACGATTCAACAA